TACTCAACGAAATTCGTTATTAATGTGTGACGGACGATTACTGAAGTTATAAAGGAGAATTAACCACCAGGATCTTCTGACTGTTCACTCTGAAAATATCTTAAAATCATGTTTGTTGCTAGAATACTATTGCTTATGTATAACTTAGGTTTACACGTTTAGACATAATTTTTAAATAGAAGGCTACAGTCAGTTCTACAATAACTTTATTAAAAAGTTATATGCAAATTTAACTTACATAAACACCGTGCTTGATGTTTTATTGTGGTACTTATAACCCTCAGAGGCCCTAAACAGTTGCAGGTTCTCCTCAAATTACCAGTAAAAGGTGTTATTAAAACTTGATGTCATGCATATACATTTCTCAACAAAAACCTAAACAAATTTTGTAATATCGTTCAAGCGCGTATAGTTGACACAATACATGAACTCCTATTAAACAGCAACTTATTCAACAGCAATTCCAAGAATTTGCATTTTTATTAGGCTATAAGTAGGAATGAACGGGATTGCACTTATAAACAAATTCTGATCTTTTTTCTTGAGCACCTTCTTCTTGACATTTTCTTGAATAAATAATCTTAGTAATTGGAGAAGACAGGTACCATGCCTCAAAATAATATCTAAAATTCATAACTGCCATGATATCCCAAATATGAGGAATGGTACTAGTAGGGTTACGCAGCATTCAAATGACTAATTCCAAAATACCTTACCCCAAGCCAGAAATCAGCTGTGTGCCCTATATGTTCTGTAAAATATTACATGCCCGTATGGTGCTGGTTCTTTAAAACAAGTACAGTAATGTATAAGACTTTAACCCAAACAATGTTATGCCATATTATACCATATTCGCCGCATCTAAGTTGGTATATTGAATCGGTTGGTAATGAATTTATGTGTAATAATCATAAATTAAATATTAATAAAAGGATAAGACCATTAAAAATATTTGTGTATTTATAAATTTCTTTTTATTACATTACAAAGTTGTAAAAGTTAGAGAAAATACGACAAAGGTATCCATATTAAGGAATGAATGTAAGTATTTAACATAAAGACAAGCTTGATAACTGATCTGCTACTATACTAATATAGAACGAAGAATCAACCATAAAAAATACTGACGGAGTTTTTAAAGTTATTTATAATACATACGAATAAATGTAATTGTTTGGATTTTTGAAATTAAATATCGACAATAGTCACAGTTATTATTTAACAAAAAAGAGTGATAGAAGATACACCTCATCACTGCATTCAACATTACAACATGTAAAACTAAACATGTAATGGACTTCCGTCCCGACGTAAAACCTTGTATAACTTAAGTTTTATGTGTAACTTTTATCGTTAAATAAGCATATTATCTTCCATAATACTCAATACAATAAGGGGTTTTCGTCATACTAAAGCAAAAACACGGATATTTATACCACATGCGTTGCGGGTCTAAAGTAAAATTTTTATTCCGAGTAAAAATAAGCTGTTATAAACAACAAAGTGGGAAGTTATACGATAAAGGTTTTCGTCAATATTCGTCAGCCTATGGCCGATCATGTAAATTATTCGTACACATAAGTACGTGTAAAAACCCTACACTTAAGTTTTTTGTCCTAAGGACGCTTAAGTTTAGAATGAATATTGTTCATATTGGATCGAAAACAGTTTTACCAATACAAACAAATTTATCTATTTACATATTTGATATTGATTCTACAGGAAATGAAACTAAAACAGCAAAATAATTAACTAAGTGATTAACAGTCATAATATACATGGAATATAGGGTTTCATTTGACTGCTCCCTCATTATTCTTAGCTCTTACGGCTGTATTTGAAATCCGTTGAGACATCATCAAACAGCTTTAGCAAAATATTTGCGTCCATCCCTGCATATTATAATTGTCATGTTCAAGTGAAAGATTCCCGTTTCTCCCTCGCCCCTCCCAACTACCTGACCTGCCGTCGTGGCTTTCGTTCCCAGGATTAAAACTTCTCAACCCCTCGCTAATTGTCGTGGCTTACGTCCCCCCAGCTTATAGAGATAAACATTCGTGGCTTTCGGCCTGCGCCCGTCTGGACATCAGAGGTCGCTGGAGGCTGCACATTCTGTCTGGGAAGAGGTACTCCGGGGAGATCAGGGCTTGCTGCGATTACCACCTTTTGCATAGGCGTCTTTGTATTTTGATGACATAAAAACTGTAATTGATCAGCTGATTTTAGTAAATTATCCTGGCTTAACAGCTGTTCTTAGTCAGTCACAAAACTGTCACCTCACTAACCTCATCAACGCTCTTCCTCGCCTTAAAGTACGCATCGTGTCGGTTTCGTATGAACCCACCGTATCAACTTTTGTATATTTGGATTATACAGACTTTTTTAACGCTACCCAAATGATACAACTACCTTGAGACATGTTTAACAACAAAACCAGCTCATATGATGGAGTCTATGTTTTCCTAACTTGTTGGCGATCCGCTAATATGCATCGTTCCAGTTATATAATATTGTGAATTTCTTGTGAAAATGCGATAATTTTTGTTGCGTCAAAAAACCCCGTATTATTAATTCAAAATGGCTGGTGCAAGTGTTTCGAGTCGTAAGTTGTTTAAACGTAATTAATTTGTTTATTGTACCTGCTTCTTTCTCTCATGTTACTAGACAATTAGTTTTCATTGAGGTGTAATCTATCTAATTAAATCTCTTAAATTAATTTAAACTACTCTTAAACGATTGGGGGGTTTTCTGCAATAGAATAGTTATTAGTTCATTGAGTTCCTAATCCATGTTTTGTCATGAATATTATTAGGGAAATGATCTAATATCCGAACAAACTACCAAGTATATTCTAACAAAGTATTTCAATGTTCTCGTAACATAAGCTGTTTCTCGACACGTCTAAAACTACACTGTATTTATAAGGAGTTTATAACAGTGCGGTATATAATTTGCTTAAAACAAGTGTCTGAGATTTATTCAAAATAATTGTATTTATCGGTTAAATTTAGCCTAACTATTAATAAAATGCCACGTGACTTTATTTTGTTATTATGGAATTTAATGCATTTGTTAGCATGAACTAACACTCTTACCTCATGTATAGATTTTTAAACACATTATTAGTTGTAGCGATAATTTACTCAAAGTTTGTTTAGGGACTCAATGTGCGACAAAGGAACTCATAAATTACTAGATAAGTTGTGAAAATTACATAACTGTTATCTAACATTGATGTCATATGTGCAATACAATGCCGCACGTAAGTTAATTGTTTTGGTCAGTAAACCATGCAACTATTAAAGCTAAGAATAGTTTAATGTTGTTAATAGTTCAATAGTTATATTAATGTAAGACAGACATTTATATATAAAAAGTAACAATGTAAAAAGATTGTTTTCAAACAAATAATCCACCTTAGACGAAAGAAGAAAAAAAGTAAGAGTAAATTATGTTGACCAGATCAGTAAGGGTTCAAATAAAATTAAATGAACCATTGTTTTGCACAGCAATTTATTTATACTGTAATAGCGTTAAAATGTTCAACAACAACAAAAAACCCACACAAATAATTGAAATAAAAAGTATATACTCTTTTACATGCATTAGAAGGTCGATAATGTTATAAATTTTAAAAACCAACTATTTTCCACACTTGTGAAAGAGATCAATGTTTCTGGGCTAGAAATTGGCCTGATTTGTGACACAGTTTCACAAGGCTAGTCAAAGAGTCTTCAATACTAATCAAATTAAGTAAATCATATGTCCTCTCATTGAAATATCTTTGTAGTTAGGTAGTTTGCTGCTCCTCCTGCTGGAGTATTAGTATGAGGAAGCCTCAGTAGTTTGTAGCTTTTGCAGTAAGTAATATCATAAACGGAATATCATGACCTATTGTTTATGTTATTTTGTTGTTTATGCTTTTCTATGTTGTTATTCTTTCTCTCTTATTTAAACAGAATCTGTTACCACTATGGTCATCCAACTATATTCAATTCTTCTTTTCTTTTACCTGTTTATATACATTATACTATTGTTATATTTATTTAATATTTGTATTGGCTTTTTATTATATTTTGTTACGTTATTTCCTATTCATATTGTTATGCATTATATATTGTTATATCGTGTTGTTGTATTTATTTTTCTATTATTGTATGTCTGCCTTTTAAATGCTTTCTTAAACTGTTATTTTTTAGATATCACATTTTGTCGTATGTTTATGTATTGATTGTTTGGCCATTGGAATAGAAAAATAAATAAATAGAATCAACAACCATTATACTAATTCACTTCCATGAAATTATAGGTACTTATCCACTAGTAAAGCTCTGGGACTTGTTACCACAACACTCTCTGGGACTTGGACCACCTGGGACTTGATTCCTGATAGAACTGTTTAATGTTAACAAAAACATAATGTATACCTTCTCAAATGAATTAGTGCTCTTTCCTGAACAAATTATATGGTCATTTTTTCGAATTGAGCTTATTGGAGGGAAATCTTCTTGCCTTACGCCTGTGTTTATCCCACAACAATCCCGAGGATGGGATAAACTCTGGCATAAAATATTGTGCTAATCCGAAATCTGCTCTGGATTTAACTCCCTACGCCACCCAACCTCTACAAGCAACCCGTACATTTCCTGTCGGCACATAAATTACCTCCAGCTCATTTGGAGTCGGAACCGGGAGCCAATACCGATGCGGTAGATAACCAACGCAATTTGCGAACAAATTAAATGTAGATGGAAGATTATTTTGTAATCTGTTTTTGAAGTCCGATTCATCGATCTAGTGCCACGGGCGACCCTATTGTAAACAGAGATTCGATAAGGGAACCGGACTCGGGCGATCGCAGATAGCGGCCGGTCATTGAAACGGTAGGCGAGCTACCTGTTGGCGCTGGGAGCCCAGTGATTGGTCGAGACGGTGTGACAGGGAGGTGAGGTTGTTTCTGATTGGCTGAGAAGGACTCCGCCTCCTCAAGACGCCGGGCCCACGTGCCGCCCGACCTTGCACTTCACAGTCGTCTTGTAACGCTGCGGCAGCACGCATCTCGCGGTCCTGTGCGATGATAGTAGCCAAGGTCGTCTAGTTGTGTTATCTGTCAAGTGTTTGTGATAGACTCAGCGATGGAGACTTGTGTTCTGATCCCGCAGGAGTTCTCGCTTGTGCTCACCCCGGGGTTTGCCAAGAAGAGGGGCCCCGACGTCGGAGTCAGTGTGTGGACCAATGCCAAGATACCCCAGGGCACCCTCATCTACCCCTTCCAGGGAACGATCCGTCTGGACAAGCTGGAGGTCTACAGCTACCTGGACGATAATGATGTAAGTACCATGAGCTGTCAATTATCAAAGATTGTATCCCTCCATTCTGTTGTCATATACATTTTATTCTTCTCTAGTAAGATCTCTTTATTCACATTTTTTGTGACAGTAACAATTTGATTGCATTAGTAAACTGCTACTTGTTGCCATTAGATAATATTGATAAGAATAAATTCGTCCACATTAATCAGAATCCATCAAATGCTCACGGACATCAGTCCAACCCAGCATCAAAGTCTCCAAGGAAAACGAAGCAGGAGGAGATTCTATACTATTTGCTCGGCATCTTTTCATGATGTTCAACAAACAGTGTCTTCGTATTGCAAATAAATCGTAATAAAGATTAATTTATGACAAATGCAAATGATTTATTTATCATATTCAAATTCATGCCACCAACATTATTTATTTTAAATACTACTACTCAAAATCAGTAAATTTGGCGTGTCCAATTAAAAAGTGAAGAGTAAAATTCATTGCCGCTGTTATTTGATTCATTTTTTTTATCAAGTTATTTTTCTATGTACCAAATAAGCCATAAAAATTGTTCGGTTGACAAGCTACCAATTACTAACTTATTTGGCATGATTACAGATAAATAGATTAACAATTAATTAATTAACGTTTTTTTATTCGACTACATTCAAAACGTAACATAATCAGTATAAAATGCCAATTAAGTGTATAAATTCTTTAGTATTTATTTGTAAAATAACACATACTCTTTTTAATATAAATGGATCATATCAACAGATAAATCATATCATGGTGGAAGTAAATATTTTCTTCCACCATAAAATCATATAAGCATGTAGCCATTGAAGAATACGTTCACTCTGATTTTCAAATAAGTTTCAAAACAATTTTAACTTATGTCTATATTATTTCAAAAAAATTTGTTTTAAATATTACTACTAAAAATCAACGTAAATAAATAAACTAAGAACCTTAACTAGTAAAGAGTTTAACGTACATCTTTGACACAAATTTCAACCATATCATTGTAAACAATGTAAAAAATATAAAAATAATTTTGAGAGCTAAAAATATTTTGAACATACTAATACTAGAAAAATTGAATCAATTATACCGCATCGTACAAAAAACAGCCAATGTTCAAATAAAAAAAAATACAGTAGTACATAATTTTCAGTACACATTTAAATTTCGTTGCAAATGCTTCGGCATAAACAATAAACTGGTCATATTATATATCAGTTGACATCTAAAGCCATTTTCTACACCATTAGATGTGTATAACCACATAGCTCCCCTGTTTAACACCCTTGCTAGCCTTCATGCTAATAGAAATACCACCCTGTTATCTTCCGTAGCCGCAGTAGGTATTGTACAGTAGCCACGTATCTTTATATTTTTATCTCAGCCCATAAAGTTTCATTTCCAAGCTCGATATTTTCTTGCGCGACTTGTAAGGTGCTGCAAGGTCGAATATGGCTTGCACAATGCTAATCATTCCATTCACTGGTCGACAGTGAAGGTCCTTACGGACGATTGAAAATGACACTTAACTTTGTTTGACGTGTGTATTGGTCTGAGAAATTTGATTTGTAGGCCACCTACATACATTTAATAATAAGACCAGAGAGGAAGGGTTTTGTTGTGTTTTAAGAGTGTTGTATGTAATAATAAGACAATAGGATACGTTTTACACATTTTTATAAGTTTCCCAAAAATTTGACAAAACTTGTTAAATACATATAGATAAAAATATAGTAGGGCCTATTGATAAAAAATTACCCCAAGTGTGTGTTTTCGTACAATAATTTAACTGCAATTTATATTAGTTTCTGATACCTTTACTGGCAAGGAATCTTTACTATTTGTTTTTTTTTATGCAAAACTCTTGAGACTATAGACATGTTATCTGTAGCATTTAAGGGCTTGTATGTAGTCAAGGGAGTCTATATGTTAAATAGTAACTGTAGGGTAATATAAACCCTCCGTTACTTGTACTAATAACATTTTATATCAATTTTGAACAGAAATGGAATTGCAATAGAAACACTTAACCGTTCAACTCTTTCAGTGTCAAGTGAACATTTTGTTTGTTTTTATAGTTACGATGTATTAGAAAATGTTGACTTTTGTATTGATTGTTTGGAAATTAAAGTAGATTTATTCAATGATAAAGAATAATATATGGAAATTGAAAAGTAATTTAATCAATTTATTTAAACTATGAAATGAGATCGCGATCTCCTAAAGTAAGATAACCAGAAATACCGCACTAACCCATACAAATAGTGCGTTTTAGTCGGAATCAGAATAAAAACCTTTTTATTTCCAAAAGATACAGAAAACTAAAATTGTAATTTAAAATTTTAAAGGTCACTAAAATTGAACAGAAGTAAGATACGTGTGGGCTACAAATAAAGATACAAAATTCAATTGGTACATACTATTAACTAAAAAATGAAAAAAAATGAAGAAACTATAGAATTCTTTAACAACAAAAGTTACCTCAACCGATAGTTAAATTTGTAGAAACTGTTTTCACCTTTCGTTAAGCTATGAAGTGAGTTAAAAAGGGTGTACGCACATTATGGCATGTTTTTACGAAAATTGATGCTGAATAAAGGAATATATGTCAATAAAGAAGCCCATTTAAACCCACAATTAAAGCAACTGAGGTATCAAATGATTCTAAATTCGAATTGCAAGCTGGTTCTGCGCCACGGAGGGTGTCGGTGTTAACACAGGCATTTCACGGTGTTTAGGCATCTCGGTTCACGGTCCGCAAACCCAACCTATGTTTGCTCATGCCACCTTTTATTTGCCAATTACTCACTCACGTACCGGAGAATTACCTCTGATGTTTACAGCCTTCTAAATTACGTTGAACACGCGTAAAAGCGTAGCTTTGATAGAGTTGCTGTACATTGTATGGTATATAAATTAGGAGACTGGTTAAGAAAATTAAACCCCTGTTGCGTCAAACTAATTATAATAGTTAATGTCGTAAAAATCACAAAATGTCTGACCATTTAGAATTTAATCTTTAAAACACTAAAATGAAGCACCAATATAATGGGTTTTATCTGAGTAAAACATAAAATAAAAACTTAAGGCACAAAATTACATTTTCAGAATTTATATTCTGAGGTTTTGCTATTAGTTGTTGTCTAAATAGCAACTGCCTTCGGTAACATATATTTTGTACGTCAATATTACCTGTTATTTATATTAGTTTTGCATATAAGATACCCCGTGTAGTAAGCAGTAAAGTAGCTAAAGAACCAATAATATACATCAAACAAAATATGTCACCGGAATTCTTTTTATTTTTATATAATAAGTTATGCAACAAATACTCCAATAATGTACATTTTACATATTTAAAGGCACTAATTTAACCTACAAAGCTAATAGTACCCGCATCTTGTTTATGACGTGCGTGTGCTTGCACTTTATATTAGTCCTTTTCTCACATATTTAAACAACTTCACAAAGAACTGTTTAACTTTCACTGTGCTGTCTACGCTGGGAATTAGATTTGTTTAGCAAATAAAGGACTTGGAGAGAGTTAAACATAAGTTTACTCTGTGTCGCGAGAATCATACTCTAATATCACTTTATGACTAAAACCAACATTTACTGTTTATATAATTGTCAACAAATGAACATTTGCCAAGTACGATGTGACTTGAACTCTCAATAATGCACTAAATAGGCCGATGAGCTGTCAGTTAAGCTAATAAAAGTATATCAGCAGTGATGATATATTCCTGCCTTTTTAACTGGTCTCCATGATCGTAATTTAATTAGTTTCAAGTAAAACGATAAGGAAGTGCAGCATATATAACATATTTATTTTAGAACTTCAACCACAGACAATATAATTCAATAGTCTGTGCTTCAACGGTATACTATTAAAGATTTTATACGTTTTACTTTACTACTTTATAAAACAGGTATAACAGGGAGAAATGTTTCATTACGTGATTATAAATTTAAATTGTACCTCCAATATGAAAAAATCTAGTGAACAAACTCTTGAACTTACAAATTTGTTTGGTTGTATTTTATACAAAAAAGTATTAGAAACAATTTCTTTGAAAATTTTTAGCTAAATACAACCATTGCAAGCTTACAATACATGATTATTATCACTAAACAAAAAACATCATTAATACATCAAAAAAGTATTTCCACTGGGGTTAAATATCTACTTCAAAATAAAAACCTTCACAAAATTTAAGTCAAAATACGATCCAGCTTCCAAGTCACATTTGCACAGCCCTGCAACGTCATAAAACTCGAATACTCGAAATTAACCCCAAACCCGAGTTAAACACACTTAGGACGTTTAGCAGAAGATTGCTTACCACAACAATTAGCGTAGAAAGATGAGTCAAGGTTCCATTCAAATTTACCCCGACCCCTTCCCCTGCAGGTGATAGTGGAATTGTCAAACAACTCTCAGATTATAATATTGTACCGTGTAATAGCGCCATCTTGAGCGGTCCCTTTGAACATTTGATGGTTGAGATTATGCAAAACATATGACGAAGTTGCAGTCGGTCGAGACTATTACGTCCGGTTCGGATAATTGCGTTTGGTAATTGAAAAATAAATTGTAGATAAACCGAGTCTGTTTAGCCGCCCAATGAAGTATGTTGTAAGTCTCTTTGTTGTAAGAGAGGTTTGTAATATGTAATTTTCCTTTTGAAAGTAAGATGTTGAGGTAAATCGGTAAATGCCTAATGTATTTGGTGCGTTAAATGATTTAATTTGTGTAGATTAGCTGGATATAGATAAATTATGTAATTAATACTAATGCTATATTTAGGCTCATTGTTTGATATACGTTCAAAAGTATGGGAATTATTGTGCTGTGTACAACCAAGATATTTAGTGTCATGCGTTTTAAGTGCATAACAATTGTTTTTTTGTTTTAAAACATAAAAGTAATCACACTCCGCATCGGTTTTATATTTGGACACGTGAAAACGTGAGACATTTTTACATTATAAATCAAG